TTCCTCATGGGATCAATATCAGGCTATTTTCATAAAGTTTAGGTGAAAATTGAGTAGTTGAAATTATTTACATCTTTCATTTGGCTAATTAGTCCTCCCTAGAGACTGCTCATTCTTCCAGGCTAAAACATTTGGTAAAATCCTTCCAGCCTTCAGAAAGTGCTGAATATTTAGTCCCTACAGCATGTGCATGAAGAGCTCTCCCCTGCATTTTCAGTATCTTTCCTTCACAACCACAAATAGAGAAGAAATGAAAACAGACAGGACTGAAAATGAAGACCCTGTACACGATCCTTTCCGGGAAACTGGCTTTCTGGCCTTAGTATCCAGCACTCCCACCATCATCCTTAAGAGGAGCACACAAAGATTCTAACAGTCAACAAATTTGATTTTGCCAACTTTTGAGTCAAGTTACAGAAATTCATTACTTGGAATCTAAAACCAACCAAAGAATTAACCTTTCTAGAGAGCTGGATATTATTTGTAGTTTATTCAAATATAGATAATTTTTCAAGGCTCCATTTGCATGGGGCTATTTCTGTCCTATACCGTGCTAGTCAATAGCCTTATTTTTTATTTTTTTAAAGACTTATTTATTTACACATGAAAGAACTGGGGTACAGGCCAGAGGCATGGGGGTAGAGAGGGATTAAGAAGATTCATCAGGCCCTCCCTGGTGGCGCAGCGGGTTAAAGCACAGCACTGAGAATCTGAAGCCACTTCCGCATGAGTTCGATTCCCGCCTGCCGCCTGCCCCGGAGGAGACCACATGGCGAGCCAGACCTCTCCTGACCCGCCCGCTGCTCCCCTCAGCAGTGTACTTCGTCAATCTGCCTGTTCTGCTCCCCACTCTGTCTCTGGTGAAGCCTCTCACCGTCCCTGAGCCTCTGGCCTGTACCCCAGTTCTATATGAATAAATAAATAAATCTTTAAAAAAAAAAAAAAAAAAAAAGAAGATTCATCAAACACAGAGTGGGGAGCAGAAAAGGCAGATTGTCTGAAATACACTGCCGAGGGGAGCAGCAGGTGAGACAGGAGAGGTCTGCTGTGCCATGTGGGTCAGCAGCCTGGCAAGGGATTGAAATCACCCTGCTGTGACTGCAGAGGGCTTCATAGTGCTATGTCTTAACCACTTGCACCACCAGGGAGGCCCCAGCCTATATTCTTATTTTAATTCTAATCTAAGAAGTCATAACCCCGGGACAAAAGTATGATTTCTTATCAGGTACATAGACTAAAATTGCTCAGGCCTTTATATCAGTGAGGCAAGTTCTGTTTAAAAATCAAACAGAAAGCTCAGACTTTCCTATCTAATAGACTTTGTTAAATGTTTTCCACAAGCTTCTCATAAGGTTGGCCATTTCACCCGGCACTAACAGTCTTTTATTACTAAACAAACATCTACACAAAACACAGCTGTATCCAGAGTACCAGCAGCCTTATATTTAAATTCTACAAAGTCTACTTCCTGATTTAAAAATAATAGGTACATTTCTAAGGTTATGATATAGTCAGAAAGGTGGAGTTTTGTTCTGACACTCAGCAAATCAGTACAGTTACCGGGCTGGGCAAGGCCCTGTGTGATAATGAACATAAATATAAACCTTTCCTGAGATATTTGGACATTACAACATGAAGGTCAAGATTTTTCCCACCACAGTTCATCCTCCATAGAGAGAACCCCAGTGATTAAGGTCCTTCTAGGGGCACCGCAGTCTTTCACTCTACAAGCCCATGCACTGAATCTGACAAACTGGATTCCACTGCTTCTCTCCCACTCCACTTTCTCCAGCCTCCTTCCTGTTTGTCCACTTCTCTGGTTGCTTATTTCTACCTCCTTCCCTTATTCCTCTCACCTTGGCCTGCCTGTGAAATACAGACCTTAGCATCTCCTCTTCCTCTTCAGAAACTACACCTTCTCCCAGCTTTATCATCTCTTTGGAAGAAATGTCCAAATTAAGGACTTCAAGCTTAGATGATATCAGAGGGAATAGCTCTTCAACCCTGTAAATTCAACGTGATCATAACTGGAACACCTGATCTCCCCCCAAAATGTCAATGCTCTGCCCTACTCATATTTAAGCTCCAGGAAGCACCTGGGGACCCAAGATGCCTGAAGGACTTTTTGACTCCTTTTTTCACTCAGCAAACCACCAACCCACCCACCTGATCCCTTGCCAAGCCACTTGAATTCAATTTCTTTCCTTCCACCACCAGTGCCACCAACCTGCCACTTTGTTTCTTCCCCCGAACATTCCAGAATTTTTCTAAATGGCCTCCTACCTCCTCTCTAATCCCCCTTAAGTGATGTTATTATATTAATTGTTTGCAAGGACACAATATATTCCAGAACCAGAGGGCTTGGTTTTAAATCCCAGCTCTGCTCCTGTTTACTTCTGTGACCTTGAGCAAATTAACCTAACTTCTCTGAAGTCTCATCATCTGCACACTGAAGATGATAATAGCACCTGACTCACAGTACTGTTGTGAAAATAAAATGAATTAATACATGTGAAGCACCCAGAACAGTATCTGGCACACATTCAAAAGCTCAACAAATGTTTGCGATTATTTACAATTAACACAGACCCAGTCCTACCACAACTTGCCCCCAAACCCTCAAGAGAATCCATGGCGTACCAAGGAAACTATGGTTCCTCATCCTGGCACCCAACTGCCTTTTCAGCTTCATACTCCATGTGATCTGTGTATACACCATGCAAATCAGAGGACTTACTTTGTCTGGAACACACGCCTGAACCTCCCTTCTCAACCTTGTTGTTTGTACTTCAAAAATCTCTCTTTTCATATCTCAGCCTAATAAAACTGTCCATCCTTGAAGCCAATCGTAGATCTTCCATGGAACTTTTTCTGAATCTCTAAACCAGCTATGGTCCCACCCTCCTATAACTCCTCCTCACGCAGAGGTTGTTTCTCTCTTTCTAGGCCTCTAATTGCAGGCTGTTCATTCTCTCCATTCGTTGGAAGCTCTTTGAGGACAGGATGTGCACTCACCACCACTGCGTGCTGTGTATCACCTGGCCCTGCACAAGATGCTGGGATAAAAAAGATGGAGTTGCAGGTGATCAGGACACAGCTTCTGCTGTGACAGGTTAGGTGAGCAAGTCCAAACAAAAAGAAGTACATGTTCTGCCCAGACTGCAGTCCTTGTAGTTTCCAATGACACCAGAACTCACAGTATAAATTGTATGGCCTCTATGACGAGTCTTTCTTTATAAAACACCATAAATAGAGTAGAATAAACATAAGACGAATGTGATCTGTAGCCCTACCCTAAAAGAGCAATATTAAAACAATGCAAAAATCTATAGCAATATTAGAATCAAAAAGCCATGGAGCTTCCAGTTGTCTAAATATAGGTTTCTCTTAATTCTGCTGACTAGCAATCCCAAGAGAAGCAACTCAGACTTCAATGACTGGAGCTTGTTCAATGTCATATTAACAACCACGGGTACATTAGTCACTGCAGCACGGAGCATAATGGCGCACACAAAGTCCCTACTCTCAGACTCATTAGGGGTCCTCCAAGCCTACACTCACAAAAAGAAAGCCACTACATCACATTCCCAAGTTCAGAGTGAACACACTGCTGGCAGTGACATCACCCAGGTACACAATCACCCAGGTACACGGGGTCAGAGAGCCAGCCCGCAGCGCAAACTCCGTTTGGTCTGGAGCCATGCTGTAATCCGACACCAGGGATTTGGCCCTCATTCCCTCAGCCACTCAGGGCATTCAGGAGCTACAGCAAAGAGCTCTTTCATTCCCACTTGCACTTCAGTCATTCAAGAAGCATCCAGCTCCAGGCACCACTAAGAGAAACGTCCTGTAGAAATGAGTTTCCAACAATCCCTAAATGAAGTGACAACTAAGGTTGTTTTCCCTGGATTAAAATGTATGCTCTTGAAGGCTAAAGCACTCTCACTCTTTGGATGCCTGGTGGTACCCACAAATCCTTAGGCAAAAATGCTAAAATCTCTTTTAACTGGACACGTCCTAGAAAGCTTACCAAAGTGAGTGTGATTCATTTAGCTACATATGATTCATTTAACTATGTTCATCTAATTGCACACTTGGTTTAGACAACAAGAAAGGAAAATTAAATGTTTAAGCTAGACTCTATTAGACTCTTCTCAAACAAGAGCTCTTTTAATAAAAGGATATAATCAAGCCAATTCAGCCTTCTTATTCTTTATTGTCTTCTGCTTTCCCTCTCTTTAATTAAATTTTTAGTATACTTAAAGTACAAAGATTTTTTTTCCTGTAGATCAATGGCCATCCACCAAAAAACAGATCCCTCCCCTCACCTTATATTCTCAAATCCTAATCCCACAGAAGCAAAGTAACCAAATATAAATCAGTACTCCTATACCACTTCTTCAAAGACAAAGAAAATAATACTGAGAAGCTTGTTAACTCCACTGACTTGTCATCTAGGCAAAATCTTACTCAGAGGTAGAACAGAGATACAATTCCTTGCACCTAATGCATTCCACTTTCTGAAAGCAAGTCGCATGAACAAAAGCATGGAAGCTATAGCAGCCTCCATGTGAACTGTAAAACTGAACACCTGTAATACACCACACATTGTAACACACACACACCACTGCCCCTGCTCTGTGGATGCTCCATAAATGCTCAGTGACTGATTCACAGACCAATTACAGAGTCTGGCAAGGACAGAGTGTGTCTCTCTGGTCCTACTCTGGGGAGTGTTCAGAAACTACAGCAGCATTTAGTTGTGGCAGGAAGACCTAACAAAGACTTCTAAAAGGACTGCAGTGTTGACAGGTTCAAATTATGTTAATTTTCTCTTCACCTCTCCTCTACATTTTTGATCCTTAAAAAAAAAAGGTCATTTTGACTTGCACCACTGGGGCACTGGGGCAAAGTAAATAAAACTGCCATAAAGGTGAAAGTGTTACCTGGACAAAAAGCCAACAAGCTAAATGGTTGAGGGGAAAAAAATGCAAACTTACTTTTCATAGACCAGCTCCTCATCGATGGAGAAATAGTGGGTATTTACTGTGCTTTTTGGTCTATTCCTTAAAGTAGCAAAATATAAACGATCTGAAAGACAAATTTAAAAGACGGGAGAAAACATGAGAAGCAGGGAAACTGGAGGTGGGGGGCTTGTGATAATACAGGAAGATAACTGTTACCCATTATTTAAACACCCCATTAAGACGTGGTACTCTTGCAGACGATCTCCTCATCTGCTCTCTCCCGGAAAGTCACCCAAGATCTCGCCCATAAAGGGACCCAAGAACAACTGTCAGAAAGGTGAGAAGAGGATGTGACCGAGAAGAGGATGTGACCGTGGCACTTAGCAGGAGGGTCGGGGGCTCGACACCCACATCTCCCTTGTTTCAGGCCAGCGGGAGTGATGGGCGCTGGGGATTCCCGCAGAACTGGAGATGCAAGTTAGATTCGAAAATCTCCAGACCTCAGCAACTACGGAAGGGGAAAAAGAGAAGCGAGCCTCTCCCTTCAGCTCAGGAGACTTCAGGCAAAGGAAGAGAGGAGAGACAAGGGGGTGTGGCTGGGGGGTGTCCCGAAAATCGAGACTAGCTGCAATGGGATAAAAGCGACCGAAAGGATCCCACGGAGCTGCAGCCCCACGAGCTGCGGCGTGCAGGAACAGGGCAGAAGCCAGCGTCGTCCCCTTCCCGGGCAGGGAGGCCATCCGAGACAGCTGCAGTGGGAACGAGGGACGCAGGAAAGACAGAGAAGCCGGAAGCAGGGGTCCTCGGGGACAGGATAGTACCGAGAGAGGAGAGCGCGCGCCGCGGCTGCAGGTCACTGGGGGCAGCAGAAGAGGCCAGGGGCAGTGGGTGGGACGTAGGGGAGAGAAGTGAAGAGTTGGGGGCCAGGGAGGGTTGGAGGGTGCGGGGCGGTTGCTCCTCACCTTTTATGAACTCGCACGCCCCGATTAGTTCCCCTGACTCCGCTGCCATCTTAAGCGAGATACGCACCGGGGAGGGCTAGATTGTGGCCAGCTGAGGTCACCCGCCCCCGGGGGCTTCTCCACTGCCCAAAAGCCGGGAAGCTTACAGTCCCGAACACCGTGCCCGCCCGAGAGAGGCAGCAGGCGCGGAAGGCGGAGGCGGCTGGGGGGTCAGCGCGCCGGGCGCCCCGGGGACATTCCGCAGGGAACCCGAGCCCGCTCCGCGCGGGGCGCACACGCCCCGGGCTGTGGCCGCTCCGATTCGGACCCGGCTGCTGCTCCTGCTGCGTCGCCGCTGCGCCTGGGGAACGCAGACCAGCTCTCACGGCCGGGCAAAGTCTTCCCCCGGCCCCCAAAGTGATCATGGAGGAGGAGACGTCTGGCCCCGATCGCGCCCGTGGCTACTCGTGCGGCAGCGGGCTGGACTCCGGCGCCCGCGGGCTGGCAGCAGCTGCTCGGGCTCCGCCTTCGCCACCTCCTTTCAGCAGCAACTCTTCCTCCTCCTCCCCCTGGGTCCGCCCCCAGACCTTCCTCCCCGCCCTCCCTCGGCCCCCCTCCAACTTTCAAGGCTCTGAGGCCATCCCTTAAAGGGACAGCCCGGCTCCTTCTCCGCCCGCGCCCCGCGCCCCAGTTACCAGGCGCCGGGCGGGTCTCTAGGAGCCGGTTGCTAGGGCTTTGTTGCGGTCCACCAATTGCAGCGCAGGAAGCCGGGCCCGGGGCCCTCAGCAGCCGGGCGGGGCCTCCAGACCCAAACTTATGAATGAAACTGTGGCCTGGCAAGTGCACGTCCCGGAGGGCGCGCGGGCCTACTCGCGGCCAGGGTGCACCGACGCCCCTTCCAGCTCAACCTTCACAATCTTTCCCCGTTCCACATTTCTCTTCTCTGTCTCTCTCGTTCTCTCTTTCTGTAGCCCCACTCACCCACGTTTTTAAAAGTCTTTCTCACACCCAGTCTTCAGAGCGTCTCTGTGCCGTGCCTTGGCGCTAGCAAATCTTTCAACGACCCACCATCCCTACAACTCGAGTTTATTTTATAAAATGGGTAATTTCAAAAGAAGCGCTACCTCCTAGCTCAGAAGAGCACGCGCTGGTTTCCTCTGCACGTCCTAGACTCTGGCATAACTTGTGCTTTGTTCTCATCGGGGAAAAGGTTCCCATCCGGTTCCCCCTTGTCCTCTCATTTGGATAGCCACCGGGGCGCAAAATCATCACAAATGCCTAACCTTTCCCGCGTTCTTATCCCGGCGGGGGGTGGGGGGGGCTCAGGGGGGCGGTGCTCCGGGCCAGTCTGGGGCGCGCGAGGAAACTGGCGGGCCGGGATGGGATGGGGGAGAAGACGGTCAGTGCTCGAGGGGGAAATTACAATAAAAGAATTGTTTTCCGTCTCGGCTGAAGCGCGGCTGGGACTGGTTCCTCTCAAAGAGGCCCCTGACTTGCTTCTGTGAAGATTCACATACACTTTGAGCAACTTTAATGCTGAATGTCCTCCGGACGTCCCTACCCAGAGGACAGTCTCTGCGGTACGAAAATGGCGCTACAAATCCAGCATCCGCGGAGCATGCGCTGAGTGGTTTCTCCAGAAACAGAAAGGGATTTTGTGCGGGCCTCTGGCTTCTCGGTCGCTTGTTTACCTCTAGGGTGGAAGGGGGCGCACAAGCGAAAAGCCAAGGAACTTTGCAAAAGCGCTCAAAGGGCGGGAGAAAAGCTCAACATTGGTCTTAGCCCGTTAGCCTGCGTGGATGGTTCAAAAAGCTAAATAGGCACAGAAAATGATAAACGGGTGTTACTCCAGTATTGGGGAGGGGGGATTCAGGACATCTCTATAATTGTAATCAGCGTATCTTAACGTTTTATGAGTAGAATTATATACGTTTATTTCTTTAGAACCATATAAATTTAAAGCTGGAAGAATCACTAAAGAGCACTCGCCTATAATCTTCACGTTAGAAAAAGGTATAGCAAAAGAACTTTTAAGGTGGGAATAATTGTGAAAAAGAGTTGCCACTCCAGATGCTCCAGGTTTTAGAGGCTGCAGGACTTGACCATTAAGTTCTAAAGACTCCAGCCTGTCCACACTCACACAATTAGTTGAAGTTTGCCTGATATTTATTTCCCCCAAATCCTGGTGTCAACGATCAAGTGAACCAATTCAAATTATTTTATGGAAAAAAATTCTAATTGAGAAAGATGGAAAAACAAAGGATATGAATGCCTGTCCCGCTAACGGTATCCACTTTGCTTAAATGACTAAATGGTGATCTATTTCCAAATCAGCTGACTGAAAATACTTGCAGAAGTTAAATTTGCTTAACAAATTTTCTAACAATTTTTTCAAGAGTTATATTTTAAAAATTGCATTAGAAAAAAGTCTACTTATTCAATACCTAATTTTTAATTTCACAAGGTAAATTATCCAAACAAAAGGACTATTCACAATTTCAGAAAAGGCAAATTTAAACATCTTGTTATTTACTAAAATGAATTTACAAAAATCTTTTCTACCATATAATTCTTCAACTTAGACATTTTGGTGATGAGGAGTGATTTACAATCTAAACTAATTCAAAATGAAAAAGTTTAGTTTCCTTTAACATTTATGATATAAAAATTATAGTGAAATTTTTGATAGGACTCAAGTAATTTTTTAATTCTCAGTATAATTCTCAGTATAATTAAATCTCAATAAGCCAAAATCCACACAACATAAAGATCATAAAAAATTTCTGCAAGAAATAACTGAACAGTGATGAATATACAGCATGCATACATGTCAAGGTTCTCATGAGATCATAATGTACATTATTCTGCAATCACCCTGAGGTCAAAGTTCCTCCTGGTGGTAGTTTCATAATAAAGGCATACTTTGGCAGTCAGTGGGAGAAGATAATGGAACAAAAAACTTATTTCCAATCACCCAATCTAACATAATTGTGAGGAATTGACATTTACTGTAATCAACAATAAATGCTAAGAGAATTAAGATGTTACTCCACTACAGAAAAAAAGGTAATGTTTCACAGAAGTTTAGCAGTTACAGATAAAAATGTCTGAAGTTTGACAAAACAATGTAAATTCTGCAACCATTGCTTGAATTCCAACTCAGACTCTCAGAAGCGGTCCAAAGCCGGCAAGAGCTGGTCCTTCTAGAACTAAAAAAAACTCCCCACTGGAGGCAACCCCCAAATATGTCACAGCCTCGGGGGTCTAATTCTGTCCCTTGAGGATGTTTGAACACCTTTCATCACTCTTACTCAAGACAATGCTTCAAAATGCAATGGAAGTGCCCTTGGACTTCTTCCCCTTGGCTTAGTTCTCCCTATATTAAAGCTATATTTTCTTCAGCTTTTCCTTATATTGCATGGTGCAAAGGCCTCTCGCTGATCAGTTATCCTCTTCTCCAATGTATCTATATTCTCATAATGTATCTCTGATCTAAACGCTGGCAGATGATGAGCTGGTGTAACCAGTTTTAGGGTCAGGATAAAAGTGATGGAAGGTTCAGATGGAGTAAAGGCAACAAAAACACTTGAAAGAACTAAGATTTATCATATAACTAGTGAAAATGGAAACTATTCTCTCTTGTTGGAAAAAGGCAAGAAAGAACTTGTTCAGGATAAGCAAAACCATGACAGTTGTGAGATTTATGTTCTGTTTTTATATTATCAGCAATCACTCACAAGAATATGTTTGGACCTTTGTGTAACTTATGATAATAAATTATATGCACAGGTAAATGAAAATATAGAAGATACACTTCTAGGTGTGGCAGACCTCTCCTGACCCGCCCACAGCTCCCCTCAGCAGTATCCTTCCTCTATCGGCCTGTTCTGCTTCCCACTCTGACTCTGGTGAATCTGGTGAATCCTCTCACTGCCCCTGCACCTCTGGCCTGTACCCTAGTTCTGTATATGTAAATAAATAAATCTTTAAAAAAATACACACTTCAAACTTTCTAAAAATTTTATTTCCAGTGTAACTATGAAGCAAGAACCAATAGAAACCCCCACTAACAATCTGCCTGTACTGTTCCCCACTCTGTGTCTGGTTAATCCTGTCACCCACCTCCACCCTGTACCTCTAACCTGTACCCTAGTTCTTGTATACATAAATAAATCTTTATTTTTAAAAAAGTGCAGTAAGTAATTTAAAAACTTGAGTAATTTGAACTATTTAAATGTTTCGACAATTCTTTCTCTGATGTCAAAATTAATTTAAAGCAGTTTTTAGTAAAATATGTGGGGTTTTTTTTAAAGATTTATTTATGCTTACAGAACTGGGATACAGGCCAGAGGTGTGGTGGATGAGAGGATTTACCAGAGACGGAGTGGGGAAGCAGAACAGAAGATTGACAAAGTACATTGCTGAGGGGAGCAGCTGTAGGGTCAGGAGAGGTCTGCCACGCCATGTGGGTCAGCTCCCTGGCCTGGGATCTAACTCCTGCCGCAGTGGCTGCAGAGAGCCTCATAATGCGGTGCTTTAACCCATTGCACCACCAAGGAGAGCCCTAAAATTTATGTCTTTTAAAGGCATGACAGTAGAATCAGGATATCAAGAGTGTGTAGACATGGTAGCTCATGAAATAGCTAATAACAAATATTACAAGTTTGGCTTAATCCAGCCATATTCTCCACACGAATCAGTGATGCTTTTTTTCTTCAAATATACATGAGATAGTATTCCTCACACCACTGCTCCAAACCAGAATCAAAGACAGTAAAAACCAGAAAGGGGCCCTCCCTGTTGGCGCAGCAGGTTAAAGCACAGCACTAAGAAGCTTAAGCCACTTCCGCATGAGGTCCATTCCTTGCCTGGCCCGGAGGTGACCACATGGCTGGGCAGACCTCTCCTGACCCACCCGCTGCTTCCCTCAGCAGTGTACTTCGTCGATCTGCCTGTTCTATTCGTCGATCTGCCTGTTCTGCTCCCCACTCTGTCTCTGGTGAATCCTCTCACCGTCTCTGCACCTCTGGCCTGTACCCCAGTTCTGTATGCAAATAAATAAATAAATCTTTAAAAAAAAGAAAAGAAAAGAAAGATTGTGTGACAAGCCCTCCCTGGTGATGCAGGAGTTAGGACTCAGCACTGCAAGCTGGCCACAGCCACTTCAGTGCCAGCTGGACACCCCCACCCCCTTGCCCTGGAGATTGACCCACGTGGCGCAGAAGACCTCTCCTGTCTCACCCACTATTCCCCTCAGCCGTGTACATCGTCGATCTGCCTGTTCTGCTCCGCACTCTGTCCCTGGTGAATCCTCTCACCACCCCTGCCCCTCTGGCCTGTACCCCAGTTCTGCATTAATAAATAAATCTTTTAAATTAAAAAAAAAAAGATTGTGTTACAAAATAGGAGAAAAAAATGAAAAACAGAAGAAAAATCGAGGTCTCCATTGGATAACCAATTTTCCAAAGCTGCCTAACAGCTGGTGGTAGAAACAAGACAAGTGCTGATATTTG